AGAAATGAGTAATGAAAAGGCTGCTTTGCTATCCCTTTCATCACTCATGTCAATCCCAAGGCCATAGGGATTGCTATGGACACTGACAGTGCCCTCTGAAAGTGCAAAATGAAGTGAACAGAACACCATGCGATGCTAAGGAAAGCATTTAAATTGCTTGGAGCCTCACCCTGAACAGTAAAAACTTCAGTAGGATCTCCATGTTGGTCAGGATCAGGCTTTCAGAGTAAAGATGCTGTCCACCATTGAGAAGCTTATCATCGGGGATCCTGGTTTTCTCTGATTTAAAAAAAAAATCCCCAATTTTCAGATTAAAAAAAAGTAACCCCAAATCCACCTTTTTCTGTGATTTATATTTATATCTATATGTATATCTATATATTAGTGGTGTTTCATTTTAATTATGGAAAAACTTGGATTTTGGGTTACTTTTTCTAATCTGAAAATTAGGGATTGTTTTTTTATCAAAGAAAACCAGGATCCCTGCCTATCATCCTAGAACAGTTATACTTCTAGTGTCAATAGCACAATAGTATGTGCTGATAATTATGCTTGTCTATATAGACAAGGCCTAGGAAAAAAAGGTGAATTCTAGAATTGTTCCTTAATGAGGAAATAGAAGTTAAAAGGAGAAACACCACATGCACCACAAATTGCTTAGAAGTTACTGCAAAATGAATGCTAGAATAATGTCCTTCCTCAATCATTCACAGTACTGAGCAGAAGCCAAGTCATCCTGGCTTTACTTGTGCAAGTCACCTCCTTGCCTATCAATGAACCATGGTAGAGACTGACTGATTGCCAACAATGACCTCCTTGACTTGAATTAAACTACCTGAATGATTAAAAACAGAAGGATTAAGGCCCTAGCATGGCAAATTCTTTCCATTTTTCTTTCAAATGCAACTTGCTATAGATACTGTCAGATTGATTCGTCTATAATGATCCAGTACAATGGGCCCCCAATCCTTGATCGGGATTCCTAGACTCCACTGTAATACCAATAAAGAATTCCCACACAGGTGAGCTGAGATAATAGAGGCTTCTATAAAAATATGTATTGAAAACAATTAGGATGCTGTCTCACAGGTTAACTACCACAGCTTGCTCTTTGGGTTTACCTACTTGTCATCTGTCCTTTCTGTTAAGGACAAGATTCTGCCATCCCCTTGGCATAACCAGCTGAAATACTGACGTTTGCTCTGTGTCATGGCAACCCTTGCATTTTAGGTTGTATATACAACAAAAGCAAAGCCAAATTTGGAGTAAGCTGACCTGAGATATTATTTTAAACTGTCAATATATTTAAATTATTTTAGAGAAAGTTAGATTTATGTGATGTATTTAGTAATCAAAACTTATGAGAACACTCTAACCAGGCAAATGAATGCGAGGTTTTATTCTACTTATTAGATGCATAAATGGACTTAAGTACCTAAATTGATTCTAGTCTACCCTGCTTAAGTCCTGGAAAAGCCATTAATATGCCTACTTCTGTAACAACTACAGCTTACCATTACAATAAGTAAGGCCCTGAGAAAATCATGATTTCACAGACTGCGCAAAATCCAGTTTCAAACTGTAAATTAGCATGCGTGAAATTAGCCCCATACCACAATTTCTAAGAAAAATGTGTGAAAGCACGGGTTTCCCTTTGCAGGCATATGGCATTGTGTGGTTCCCAAGGCCATGGCAGTGGGGTGCAGATCCCAGTCCACAGTGACAGCCTGACTCCACCCTGTGCACAGATCCAGGGGGCACATACCCCCCATGCCTCTCCCAGGGTGCACGCAGTGGTGGGAGCCTCCCTGCACCCTGGACGAGCCACCCAGGCTCCAAACATCCCACAACCTGCCCCAGGGTACCATTCATTCCAGTCCCTACCCCTGTCTCTGGCCCACTCCCTTCTTCACTGTGGGAGCCGCAATCTGCCTCACCTTCCCCTTCACAGATTTTCCTGCTGTGGTGGGCAGTGCTCCCACCAGGCTGCAATACTGGCTGTGTGCAGGCTATGGCTCCGTGTCTTTCTGTGCACGCCTCTCCCTGCTGCTGCAGCCACCTGGAGCCTGCACCTAAGCTGCCCTGTCACCCTTTGTGCTGCCACTGCTGCCCCCTGTTTGGGTGGCCTAAGCCCCATTATCCCCCCCGCCTTCCATCACCTCTGGTGTGTGCCTGCCTACTGCATGTGTAGCATGTTCATGGATAAAGTACAATTTTTTTCACAGATTATTCATGGAACTACCAGGACCCATTTGCCAAGATCAATGGTAGTTCTATAAATGTTCCGTAAAAAATTATACTTTACCTGCTCACGTGCTGCAAATTTTCTACAGGGAAACTGTGATTTTTTCAGGGCCCTACAAATGAGCCACAAACAAGCAGCAAGGAGGAGGAGGACCCACCTTCTGTATTAACAGTTTTTCAGAAACTTGAGGAGGATGGAATGAAACTGCATTTAGACATTCAAGTCCACTTACATGACTAATAGGAAGAACAGAATCTGGTCTATAGTGTCTAGAGACTAACCCCAAATTTCCCTACATGTATTGAGTACAATTTTTCTTCAACTTTATGGTAAGACTACATCTGTCAACCAGTTGTTTATGATGAGTCACCAGTCAAGAAGCTAGCAAAAGAAAGATTTTTTTTCCTTGCCTGTTTGGCATAGTTTTCACTAAATCAATGTAATATTTTATTCCTGCATAGTAAAGCTGCAAAGTTATTTTTAAATTGGTAGTATTCACTGCTGAAAAATACCAAGGGTAAGCATTAAGATGATCTAGAGGGCCCTCTGATCTCCTAAATTAAGATACATAACCAGACATAAAGATCAGAAATTGAATTAGAAAAAAGCAGCAACAAAAAATAGCATGAATGTGCAAACTAGTGTAGAGTAATTTACTTTGGAAACTATTGACTAAAGACTATTATAAATTCTCCATCTCACAGTCACTAAATCAAGATCAGATGTCTCTCTAATTGATACTCTCTACCTCAGCCACAAAATGATTGAGTCTATTGCCAGACTCACAAGGTGAAATTCTGTTATCTACATGTAAACCTTCAGCTATTTTAATCTGGAGATTATGGAGAAAAATGAAGTATTAAGTCTTGCATAATTAACTTTGACTAAACATCAATAAACATTTAAACATGTAAACATTCCATTTGTAGCAGGCTCACCTTTCAGAGCTTGGGTTGAATCCCAGGCTTGAGATCCTGCTGTTTTGCTTGGTGGAGCCCATCCACCAGTCAGGAGGCAGCAAGAGAAATAACATCATGCCCCTTTTCTGAGGGGAAGGGGAGAAGAGCTTCCCTGGACCAGACTGAAAACTGTCAGGTCCAGAAGACTTTAGGGGCGGAGCCCTGGAGCATATAAAAGGAGCTGCATGCCCAGCACGAGGGGCAGTTGCACTGGGGACAGAGAAGAGAGAAGAGCGGGGCTTTGAAGACCTGAGGAATGCTGCTCAGCAGGGCGAAGCAGTAGCCCAGGAAGAAACCCTGAAGACTTGTATCAGTGGGGAGCAGGGGACAGCTCCAGCGGCTAGGCTCTCAGCGCGCAGCATGGCACACGGCGTCCAGACCCTGGGAGCTGCATGAGGCAGCTTGCATCTGCAACCTCTGGCATGCGGCCAGAGACACGGTGCACAGGCCGGTCCACAGAGCAGGATCTTTGGAGCCCCTGAGGCGGCTCAGGTCCTCAACCCCCAGAACAAGCCTGGGTGCTCGGTGCAGGAGGCGCTGCACGGAGGGTGAGAGACCCTGGAAGCTGCTTGAGGTGGCTTGGGTCTACAGCTGCTGACATGGGGCAGCAGCTCAGTGAAGGCGACACTGCCCAGAGGGTCTGGGAACAAACTGAGCCCCGGTGCTGCACAAGGCTGTCCAGGCCTCCAACCCCTAGCACAAGGCAAAGTGCCTACTACACACAGTGGTCCTCAGCTAGGATGGCGGCAACAGAGTCAGGTGGCAGGAAAACCCAGCGGGAAACAGAGTTTGACCTGGAGAATGAGAGGCAACCCTCTGGGACTGTGGAGCAGTCAGTTACTCTGGAGAGAGGGTCCCCACAGGGGAGGGACCCCCCAAGGGTTGCAAAGGGGCACCACATGGGCCTCTTCTGGGTGATAGCAGGGGAGCTTAGAAGTCTTTGGGATCTTCCTCTCCTTTTTCTTTCCTCCCACTCCTTTCCTGTAGTGGTACCTTGGGAGTAGGGCCCCTGCCCTGGAGGGCACCCAGGTAATCTAAGGACTGCTGATTATATTTGTGGACTATGCCTTACAGTTTATGTGAATAATTTAAAGTAATAGTTTCTATATAAATAAAGTTATAAGGTTGCCCAATCAATATCCTTTGGTCTGATTTGTTCTATTGTTCTGTATTTTAAATGATAACTGGGTATGAGTATATCTATATCTATATCTATATTATAGGGTTTATTGCTCTGTAAATTTGTACATATATATATAATCTATGTCCTTACCCTCTAATGGTTTTGTTGTAATAATAAATCTGTATATAGTTAAGTAATTAATTGACTGGACCTGACTATTGGGGAAGGAGGTGGCTGCTGGGCCGTTGTGTCCCTCCACAGCACACTACCCTGCCAATAATTCCCTCAATTGGAGTGGGAAGTACAATCCCATGTACACCTGGGCTACACAATAAGTGTCTTAGGCCCCAGTTTTGGCCTTGGATCTACATAGACCCCCTCAGAAGTCAAAGTCAGTATCTCAATGCATACACAAAGGTTTGTCTATACAAATCTGATTGTAGAATGAAGGCCCCAAAGTTTAGGTACTTTTCTGACCCAATTGCTTTTTTTGTGGGGAGCGGTTGGGGGGTTTGGGGCCAAGAGAGCAGGGCCATATTATAAGAAAGCAGGGTGGAGCTCTAAGCTAGGGGTTCCCAAACTTTCCAAGTCACAACCTGGCAAACTGCGAACCACCACATGGAGCCCGGCAGCTAGAATTTCCAGCTGGAACACAGGTAAAGATACCTCCACCCCCCACGCGGGGTGGAGGGGGCAAACCTCAGCTATAGCTGCCATGGGCCCTGTGGGAAGAGTCGCGGCATCTCCACCCGGCTCTGCGGGGCCGCAGTTCACTCGTCCGCAGTCACTTCTGGTCCAGGGGTTGGCTTAGAAGCCCCTCATAATGTGAGGCCCTAAGCTGCAGCTTTCTTAGCATTGTGCCTAAATCCAGCACTGCAAGAAGAGAAGAACTGGAAAATCATAATGCGCTAAGTGTGATTTTTAGTAAGCAAGGTTCTGGTGAAACTGGAGGTCAAATTATAAACTGCCTGGTAGGAGATAGGGAAGGTGGCACCTTAGAAACTGTTTCAGAGAGGCATGAACTCTTGTAGCCATATCCTACTTTGTCACATGCCAAGCTCTGACTCAAGGAAAACATAAGCAGTTTCTTAAAAAAAAAAAAATTAAAGCTGATACAATTTAATTAAGACCCTTCTGATAAATCTAGTCAAATCCAAGATGAAGAGGTGGCTCTACCATAGTTGAATTCCAAAAAATGTATATGATACAATACTGCAGCAGACTAATAAAAGAGCGTCAAGTACAAATTGGGCATTGGTTTTCACTTCAAAAAAAACTACTTTGACTAAGGACAGACTGTAATGATCCAAGGCTATTTATGGGTTTGGGAGTAGGCAAAAGCTTGCAAGTGGAGTAACAGAGTTCAGTAATAAGATACACCAGTTATTTATCATGATGGACTAGTACAGTATCTCAAATAATTTTTAGAAGTGAGGCCCTGCAGTACTTTAGTAAATGTATGAAAATGTCCTTGTGCCAGTATTAGAAATTTTAAAAATGTATTATTGCAATAAGAGTGTTTTTAAACTTAAAACAATTTTAAAATCTTCTTAAAAACCAAAAAAACCCAATGTGTTGTAAATTAACAATGTAAATGGATTATCTTGGTAATTTAACAGCTGAAGTGTTAGAGGCATGGTATTGCTTAAAGGACTGATGATGACATGCACAGTTACATAGGCAGATCCAGGATTTTTAAAAGGAAGGTGCAGGAGCAGTGACTGGCAGTGGGGGGAACTGGCACTTGGGGTAGCTGCAGGCCACACTTCAGGAACACCAATCAGGGACTTAAGTCCCTGAAACAAGTAAGAATCCCCCCCAATCCCACTCATTGTGTGCACAAGCACACAATGTGACATAACAGCTACAGAAGCTGCTTACCTTGTGTTTGTGCAAAGATTCAAGGAGATGCATATTAACTTCTGAAGAGCTGCATGTAGCTCTGGAGCCGCAGATTGGCTACCCCTGGTATAGCATTTGCTTGACCAAAGTCTGGGTAAGAGAAGAAGAGGCAAAGGACATGTGCAAGTGAGAGAATGTCAGAGATTAGACTAATTTTAGAAAATGCCAGGATAACAGGCAAAAAGAAGTAGGGTAAAAATTGTTCAGAGTACATACATTTAGCAGTCTCGTGTCAGTAATATCCAGTTTTAAACAAGATAAAGCTTAAACAGGGGATAAAAATAAGCATATGAATCTTAATTAGAGTAGAACCTATTAAGGACATTAAGAACAATGATCTTGTAAGCTGAGTATCCTGAATTCAACCAAGACCCTAAATCTTTGCTTTTCAACCTTGAACTACAGTTGTTGCTGAATGGCCCATCTGCAGATGAACTAAGATAAGTGCTCTTTAAAACTTAATTGGAAAACTAGTTGAGAAGTCCTTTTCCCCCTAACAGACTGGCCACTCAGAGGCTTTTTAAGACTTTAAAGGATTTAATTTTTAATCCTCTCAAATGTTAATAAGATGAATGCACATTTAACAAAATTTAACTGTTGGCTCCATTACCTGTAGTGTTTGGTCATTTATATCTTATCTCTATTTCATTATTAAAATTCCTATTAGAAGTTACCTACATTATGTTTGTGAGTATTTAATTTAAGCGGAACTGGTTCTTCAAACCTAGTCTCGGTTCCCAGAATGACTCTTAAAAGAGAAAGCTTGCATGTGAAGTGTTCACTGTATCTGGAACCCAAAGCAAAATTCAAATCTGATGCTGCTTTACAAATTAGCTCCATCATTTTGATGCACATCAATATTCAACTCTCTGCACATACAGTAATACTGAAGCAAACTTCAGAATTGAAAAAGTAAAAAGTACTTTCTCCTCCCTATTCTATTTTCAAAGAGTTTTAGGAACATGATTGAAAGTAATATGGGCAAGAGCAGCATCAGCTCTGCCTTAAAGGAGCCTGCTGTGGTCCTTAATTGCATGCATTTAGACCAACTGCCTCCTAGTTTTACAAGCTGAGTGTGATCATATGTTTGTCTAACAGGCAGGTTTGGTTTAGAGTTAGAAGCATATAATTTTCCAAAAATGAGGGTTTGGTTGTTTTTAGTTCCTTGCAAACTATCAGGTAGTCTAAAAATTCTTAGGTATCTGGGTAAGAAAGTATAAGCAATAAAATGTTGTTCTCTCTGGAATGATATAACCTAACTTGCTTTGGTATAAAATCTTTCATGCAAATTGTACTGGAAGCACATGGCAGACTTAAATAAAACAATAGAGTTAATAAAACAAAAAGGAAATAGGTAGGGTGCTCAAACTGACATTCTGAATCTCAGGATCCTGTGTTTTGAGTCTGTGCTTCATGGTTGGCTTCAAATGTAGGGAGCTGATGGATAGGGCCTCTTCAGAAGATAATCTAAAGGATGAAATCACAAGAGCAGACAATTTTCGAAAAAAGCTGTATTAGAGATATAGGCCCTTGAGTGGAAGAAATATAGGAAGAGTAGAATTAAATCACTAAGTATTCAGCAGAAACTCTTTAACAACCTGGAAATCAAAAAAGAAGGGAAAAAATCAGAAAAAAGAGTATGTGACAATGGATGAGTATAAAGGAACAGCATGAGCATGTTGAGATGAAACAAACAGCAAAGGCACAAAAGAGTTACAACTTGCAAGAGGTATAGAAAACAAGAAAAGGTTTATACATACATTTTATTACAAAGGACAACAAAGGAGATTACCTACTAGGCAGAGAGAGGAAAATGCAGACAAGGTTGAAAATTCAGTGCTGCATTGATTTCAGCCTTCACAAAAAGGTAAACTGTATCCAGATATTTAACTACATTTATTTCTTTTAAAGGAATGAAAGTATGTACCAGAATAGGGAAAGGACTGTTTAAAGAGTGCGTGAATACATTCAAGTCAACAGGGCCTGGTGAAATACACCTAAGAGCACTTCAGGAACAAACAAAACCAGTCTCTAAACCCATAAAACCACTGGGAAGTCATGGGTGATGGGGGAGGTCCATTATGACTGGAGAAGGGCAAGCATAACACATATCAAGAAGATAAATGTCCTAGTAAATTATAGTCCAGTCATCCAAATGTTGGTACCTAGAAAGGAACTGCAGCAAATTATGAAACAATCAGAATGTAACTGCCTGCAGAATGAGGTAGCTAAAAAAAAAACAGCCAAAAGTGGATTTGTCAAGAACATCCAATGTCAATCCAGCTTAATTATGTTATTTGGCAAGGTAAATAGTCTATTGAATAAGAGAAAAGATATTGTGAATGTGGTAAGACTTCTGACAACTATCGCATAAGACATTCTCATAAGCAAATAAAGGAAATATAGTGTAGATGAAATTGCCATGAAGTGGATGATGGCTGCTTGAAAAACAACTCTCACAGGGCACATCTACATGAGACGCAGAGCTACACGTTTACTGCTGAGCTGCCTAATTAGCTCCACAGTAAAGCCTGTGCGTCTACACATATGGACCTATTAGGCTGCAGTAAAATAATAAAAGCCAGCATTGGTTAGAACTTGTAAATACAAGTACTATCCTGCGGCAGTGTTATTTACTATACAGCAAGATGTGTGTAGATGCTGATGAGACTGGCTGAGACATAAGGGTACTTCAGTGTGGGGGCTGCATGCTAACCCCTCTGCCCCAGCAAGCCCCTCCACAGCATGCTGAGCCAAGTCCGAGCCACCCCAGGCTGGCAGGCTGACCCCCTGGGTCCCCTGCCAGCTGGGGCTACTGTGACGCAGCTCAATGTGTTCTGGTCCTGGGTGCAAGTGTAAACATGGTGCCCCAGAGGAATAAACTCTGACACAATATGTGCCAGAGTTCATTGCATCTCATTAATTCCATGCGTAGATGCACCCACAGTCTAGGGACAGAAGTTACACATAAACCAGTTCAAGTCATCAAAAACCAGTTTACACCTGTAACAGAACAGAAGTTCAGTGCAGGTAAACCAGCTTCAAAATGGCTGAAACCGGTTTAAGATTAACCTGACTGAATGTAGTATCAGACTTAACTGATTTGGGTCAAACCCATAGACAGGGCAGCAACTGGGGTGGCTTGGGGGGGCAGGTGAGGGATGGGGCCAGGCAGGGCAGTGATCGGGGGGCTCGTGGGGAAGGGGGG